GTCACGAAAGTTTTATTTTATGCTGACGAAGTATTTGTTTTCTTCAATGATTATGCCAATGGTGCATTGGTGATAAAGGATGGTAACGAGGTAGATATTATTTATCTTTTTTATGTTTATAAATATCGTGTTTCCTGGTACTGTTTTCAAACCATAGATTGGGAATAGACGAATTGAAAATCAACGACACGATTTGATCCCAGCCCAGTTCATTTATTTTTTGCAAGTAGTCAATTTTCACGATGCGAGTTCGGAAAAATAATCATGGAGACTCATAAGTTTGAGAGAATGTCTGTTGATCATAAAATGAAATAGTCCAATTATAAAAAACCATCACGTTAGATTTGGCTTGAAAAATTGTCGGGATTTAGCCAGTTACGGTTAGCAAAATAAGATTTTTCGAATATCACATACATGAATAGATTTTCTCAGGCATAATTCTGCAAGGAAATCGAACTGTTCTACCTTCTTAAGCATTTATATATGGATATCTGTGATTGACAATTTTGAAAAAGGAGAAACGAGTTTTATCTAAATTTAAAATGATATATCATATTTTATTGCCATGACATGTGAACTAATGTTTAAATTGGTTGTAGTTGTTTTTTTTTGAAAGGGACTATATATACAAACTATTCTTTCGACATACTTGGTTAAATTTTAGTTTTCATTGTTATATTTCATTTACTTGTTAATTAAACTCAGTTTTACTCAAGTTCTGGATAATTGGATTTTCAAATTGTTTCTTTTCTTTTATTCTTTATACATACCAGATTTTTTATAAGCCTTGTCAATAAGATAAAATTTTCTTGGACAATAAAGTATATACATATCTATCTATAATAATTAATATTCCGAAGAGGTGCATACGACATTCTCCAGAAAAAAAAATTGCTGAAAATAAGAGTAAATAATCTAAAGGAACAATTCGTTCCGGACAGTCTCAACTCACCTACACGGTAGGTTTGTCGAATGACACGTATCAGAAAACAACTACTCCCCTAGCTAATACCACGAAGGGCGTTAGTGCAGGACTCTTCACTGAAGCAATTCCTTCATATGCTGTTGGCGGTACAACTGCCGGAAATCCTGCACTGACACCTGTCGTATATAACTCAACGCCCTTAATAATAATAATAATAATAAATCTTTATTTCCGTTGAAAGTTACATGTTTGGGAATTGTCAGGCCTAATTCTAAGGTTATTAAGAGTTGTTAAAAAATAAAATATGAATTTAAGATAAGGTAGTCACATACATTAATTATCAATTAAAAATTCGGAGAGCGAATAAAAACATTTTCACTTTCGCAAATGGAATATACATGGAGTGTTTATTTCTTGTATTATATTCATGAATATCTTCATTCAATTCGAACAACGATCTACTTTCAAAAATATAAACAGCTATATCAAAAATGTATATACATGGAAGAGGTAAAATTCCGTACATTTTGAAAATAGGTTTACATGAGTCCCTAGATTAAATATGTACTAAAGTACGTAATATGCGTTTTTGACAGAGACATATAGCATACCTAAGCCTTGAATCAATTTGGGTGTAGTAAACCGCCAGTAGTTGTGCCTCATTGAGAACATTTGGAAGATTCGAAAGAAGAAAATTCAGGGAATTCAATTTGCCGATTAGTTTATTACAGTGGGTTTTCCAGCTCAAAAATTCATCTAGATATGCCCCAAGAAATCTGACAGATTCTTGAGTGTTTGTCAAAATTGTCTGATTAACTCTAAAATCAAGATTTTGGAAACGTACTACCTCTGTTTTTTCCGTATTGAAGAATAAAGAACGTTCATTGAAAAAATTTGATATATTATTCATCACATCACTACAATTAGCGTTCAGTTAAATTAGTGTCAGATGAAGACAATACCAAAGATAAATAATCTGCATAGGCAAAGCGATGACAACTATTTGAAATGGAATCAATCTGATTAATGTACAAAATAAACAAAACGGGTCCCAAGACGGAACCTTGTGGGACACCCATATCAACATCCAAACATTCAGATTTTCTATTATATTTACAGATGGAATAGTTATCGGTCTGTAATTTTCTAATAATTTAGAATCATTTTTCTTGTGAATCGGTATGACTTTTCCAATTTTAATAGCATTTGGAAATGAACCTGTTTGAAAAGATAAATTCACCAAATGGGTTAGGGTAGCAATAATATTCTCGAGGACATCCCTCAAAATAAATCCTGGGATCTCATCTGATACAGCAGAATTTTTATTATTTATTCTTCCCTTTAAACGTAAAATAAGTTTTTTTTCGAAAAACGGTTGAAAGAACATGCTCACCTTATCGAAATTGTTGTTACGCTTGACATGACTGATTTTAGGAATATTGTTCAATAGATTAATAGGAGTTTTGATGAAGAATTGGTTGAAGAGATAAGCTATTTCAGATGCATCTACTGTCAATTCTCCGTTATTATTGATTACTATATTTTGGTCAGTTTTCTTATACTTGTTAGATAATTCTGAAATAATTGTCCAAGATGTACGCATAGTATTTGATGACTTAAATATACGATTTTGATAGTAGCTTTTCCTTTTTTCAATTAGTAGAGATGAATGTTTACGTTTAGCTTCATTGTATATATCTGTTAAATCAGGATATGTTTTTTTCAGTATAAAAAGTTCCTTCAAGTTGGAACTTGAATGAATTACAGATTCATCAACCCATTTTTTGCATTTATTTTCATAGTAACAAGTGCGATTGAGAAAACATAAATCAAAATGATATTAAAACAATCGATAAAGAGAAAAGCTTCATTCACATCTTCTATATTCTGAAATGTGTTCCAATTCTCTCTTTTTACTGCATTATGAAATTCATTTATACTTTTCTTATCAAAACTTCTCTTAATCTCAGTTTTCGTAGGAACATTCATTTTAGAGAATAAATCCATTTCAAGAAACACGGTTCTATGATCGGATATTTCATTATCGAAAACACAGCGTAGCCCTTTGTTATCAAAATTCATAAAAATTTGATCTATCGTGGTATTAGCCAGGGAAGTAGTTGTTTTTTTGATACTGATACTGTGTAAGGTAAGATTGGCCTGAACGAACTAGAGTGGCCCTAATAACAACAAACAGGAAAACACCAGCAGGTAAACCTAAAAAATGGAGATAAAATGAGTAATCTTTATTATTCTTTTGATTTGCAAAAACGAAACATCTGGAATGCCGATGACCTAATGTACGATCACCAGATAAAATTCTGCGGACGTGAGGAAATAAATGGTATTTTCTTATCGTTGTGTAATTACACATGAAAGTCCTTCACTTTGATGACTCTATTGAATGCAGTTTTAAAAATATTTAGAATACAAACAATTTCAGATATTTATCTAAACATTCCTGGATGATAACCAGCAAAACCAAGTTATAGCAACTGCTTATATAGAACTGGAAGAACGAACAACATCAGAGGACTTTTAATTAATATGTAAAATAGACAATCTTGGGATATATTTAGAAACAGCTTCGATTTTGATGATCATTTTCAAATTTTCATGTTACTTGGAATCGGGAACATATTGAATTACTTATGACATTTTTTAGAAAAAAAAACAAAGCTTATCAAGGCACCTGACCTACGGTTTTCTCGGCTCGAGTGGGCTGAGATCGGAAAATGAGGGGTTCATCATGGCATGTCAGGATGGGGTTTTTTGGAGGTTCCTGACAGCAGATGCAGGGCCTGCCGCGAAGCACCTGAGACCCTGTCGGCATATATACAGCATATGTGGTCTCAGCCTATATCCATCGATATGTAAAGGCACATATTCTTCATATGAATAATCGTTTGTAGCATAACTTACATTTCTTCGATTTATCTCTGATGCTTCAGTTCCATCCATTGAAACAACTTCAACGTTGGTGACTAAATTATTACGCGATCATCTAATGTTGTTGTTTATTCGAAAAAAAAGCCACAAAGAACTGAACTATATATATAGATATCATACACATTGTTAAAACAATATCAATGATTTTTCCCGTTATCTGATTCCAAACAATATGGAAATACAAACCTTTTAAGAAATTAAACAATAAATCTGAGGACCTGCAAGGCAAATACTTCTATAATTTGACTAATAGTCTTCTTAATCTTGCACTTATGATAACAAACATTAGTGCTATAACAATTACCTTCTCACTTATGATTGCTACGACTTTCATTACCGATTGAGATCAATTTCTCTCTTCATTTCATTTGAAGCGCCCTCTAACGCCAGAAATTTCACTAAAAAAGACTGTTTGCTTGCTGAAAAATTTACATATTGAGAACAGTGGGAACTGAAAAATGAATTCAACTTTGAAACCATTGTTCAACTCATTTGTGCGGTCTACACTAGAATGTGGTACCTACCCTGATTTGTAATCCAATCTATTGACTGGATCATACACCAAACTTTCACTTTATCATTCATTCTGAGAAAGTTGTCACCATTTAACCAATGGGATCGTTCATACACCACATTTTTACTCCAATGAATGTTCCTACTTATTCACATCTTGACAACATTATTAAAGTAAAAGATAAAGTAAAAGTTTATTGCATAACCCAGCCATATGACTAGCAAATTCATATAATTAAATCAATACAGGAAGTTTTCAAGAATTTAATTCTCAAAATAAGTTGTGATAATTTTTACACAGGGAAATTTCTTCATAATACCATTATTTTCAAAAAGGAATGGATTACCGTATTTCGAAGAGAACATAAACGATTTTTATCCTGATTTGAAATTCAAGCTTCTATTGAAAGTCCGTCCCTGAGTTATTTCAGAGATAATTCAAAGATCGACTCTCCCTGACACCTATTAGCCAAGAGATGAAACTAAATAACTCACTTGGGAGAACTTGGAAGGCAGTAAAAGAGACATGCAGAAAACGACAAAACCTGTATTACTCTATTATATGTCAAAGATTCAAGATTTAATGCACCAATGAGAAAATTGCACGTGAAAAAAAAGTTTGTCAATTTTCGCCTTACGATAGTATTTAGTACTGATCTTTCAAGGCATATTTTCGAAATGAAATAGAAAATTTTATACGGCTTCGCAGTTACTACAGACTGTTTGCAAATATTCAAAATTGTATTGAAAATTGTAAAGCTCAACAATAGTAGGGTGAGATTCGAGAGTAAATTACCGGCCACCGGCGTAGTCAGCTGTGAGCGGCAGAATTGTGTTGTATTTTTGATCTTCACCTCTTCCTTGTTGGCAATAAACAGGACATTATTATGGTCAATCTATAGAAACAGTAGGAAATAAATAAGGGTGTTCAAAGTATGCTGCGTTCCTTCATTTTCTGTTGGGTATTTGTCAATATTGCCCTCGAAATTATTAATGCCTTTGGAAATTTAGAGCCACCTAAAAACACCACCAAACTGCCTCCTTGCAGGGCTTGCAAGGTTTTCGTGGAATCTTTCAAGAAGGTAGGATATAAGTTAACAGGTATAAGAAAATTATAAAGCAACTTCAATCCTGTCAATGAACTATTCATGGCACTCAAATACAAATCATCATTACATACCCTCAAAACTTGAAGGTATGGGAGACTGGACTACGTACTATGTAGTAAGTTGTGTGCAAGGATTGCTGCAATGTTGGGTCTGTTATTCTTCATAATGATTTATAGCATAGTATTGATCTCAACTTTTGAATAATGTTTTCATGATCAGTTTAATATAGTTTCTGCAACGGAAAATTCTCATGCATTTGTGAAAATTTTATGTATGGATTAGATTTGTGAAGTCTTTAATGAATTTTATATTTTAGGGCTTAGAGCGTACATCCAAATTCAAATTTGAAGGTGGAGATGCGGCTTGGGAAGAGGAAAAGCTAGGTAGCTACTCAACAAGTGAAGTACGCTTGGTTGAAATTCATGAAAAACTTTGCTCTGAGGTGGTTGAGGGGAAGGAACAATGTTACAATCTACTAGATGAATATGATGAGAAACTTGAATACTGGTGGTTCAAGAAACAAAAAGAAGAGCCAGATCTTTACAAATTCTTATGCATCGACACTTTTAATGTATGCTGTCCAGAGTTGCATTATGGCAAACAATGCTTACCGTGCCCTGGATTCCCTGATAATATCTGTAACAGTAATGGAAGGTGCAAAGGTTCGGGAACAAGGAAAGGGGACGGAAAATGCCATTGTGAAGAAGGATATGATGGTGACCATTGTGAAAAATGTGCGGTAAACTATTTTGTTTCCTATAAAGATGATAAGAAACTCCTCTGTTCGCCCTGTCATGTAGCATGTGATGGTCCTTGTAGCAAATCTGGACCTACAGGTATTCTCTTTTCTCAATGAATATATATTGTCATTGTACACTGTGCGGCTGTAAAAATCTTCTCAACTTTTGAATGGGACAAAATATCAGGGTTCATTTCAATAACAAAAACAATAGTGTAGCATCACTTATCGCCGAGGGGATTTTCAACTTCTTTTTTCAAGTGAAAAGGGAAGCTGGTGGCAGTGTGATAGGTCTGGCAATTCTCGATCGTATATAATAGACTATCAGAAGCATAAGACAGATATATCCAACACGCCATTCATTAGGATTGATACAATTCCGAAATCAAAACTAGTATTCCAAACCAAACACAACAATCCTTAGTGACCGCCGGTATTGTCAAAATTACCACAGCATAAAGCTCATTGCTGATAGTTTACAAAATGAAAATACTCTCTGCGGTTGCGGTAGAAAAAAAACACAATGGATATGGAAGCACAACAAAGGAAGTAGCTGGTAAAAAGATGAGGGTCCAGTAATGACTGAGGGGCATGTCACCAGTGTGTTCTTGCCATGGGCGAATTTTTTGAACTGTAATGTTTTGTTGGGAAGGTCTATTCACTAATTAATTTATTACATTATGGAATATTTCTGAGGTCCCGTTCAAAATTTGAGATGGGGAAAACTGCTTAGGTCCATACTGTATAGAACTTGTATAACTATTCAAGTTCTCTTTATTTTAGGTTGTGTAAAATGTAAATCAGGATGGTTGCAAGACAATGAAAAAGGTTGCCTTGACATAAATGAATGTGCAGCCCCAAAGAGTCCATGTACCCCCTTGCAGTTCTGCGTCAATAAAGATGGGAGCTACAAATGTCTAGACTGTGATCGCTCATGTGCAGGTTGTAGTGGTGACGGGCCCGATATGTGCATAAACTGTGCCAGTGGATACTTTAAAAAAGATGGTTTATGTGTTGGTAAGAATTAGTTTTGGTATCAAATGTATAAGTGTTGCTAACTTTTCTTAGCAGTAATCTTGTGTATGAAATTCCTTCATATCTTTTTATACGTATATTTCTTTCGTATTACTTGTACTTGATGCAGAGTTGATTCTTTTTTCACCAATAATTATCTTGTTTTTCAGATTCTTCAGACGAGAGCCGTAAAAGCTTTGTTTCTCTCTCCAGGTATTTGACATACCTTGGTTTGTGCATAGCAACCTGCATAATTTTGAATAAGAACACGTATTTAGCAGCCATTGTAGGTTCCTGTGTTGGCATTTACATCACAGTTTCCGAGTATATGCTCAATACAGTCCCGTCCCCCAAAAACAACATTGAGAGCCAAGTAGCTGACCAAGTACTGAAAGCATTAGGTAATTGATTTTATTACCAAAGAATAAATTGAATTGTTCAGTGTCAAAATATCCAACAAGCTCATGAGTTATTTATTATTTTGTTTGATTTTTTATTTATTGAATAGAACTTTTAAAATCCAGTTATCGATGGTTCTTCGATATTAAATACCAAAAGTAAACATGCCCAAAATATGTATGAGTGAATGTGATGTTTTCATTCAGTATGTTAAGAAATTGTGTTATTTTTAGTTGGAAATAAATGCATTTTTGGTTGGTTTTAATTTCATTTCAAATTTCTATAATACAGTTTTGTGAAATCTTTTGGATTCAATAATAGGCAATAACAATGTTCTCTACGCCAGTATTTATTTATTCGTTTGTTGCACAGGATCACCTCTTTTATAATATTACAGGCATCAAATACAATAAATATTCATAAACAATTTAAAAATATAAAAGTGAGACTCGAAGTAAACTCAAGTAAATACAATAAGTAATTTTAGTAGGCCTAATAATATTTAAGAAACAACACTGCATAATAAATAATGAGAAAATATGTTCTCCGAAGACATAAATACAATCACAAAACCAGGTGACATGAATAACAGTAATAATGAATACTATTAGTTTATGCAATATCAAAAAATAACATTTTGAAACACTAATAGGAAAATTTGAATACAATAATTTACTGTAAACGATTAGGAAAAATACTATAACTTTTCAAAGTTGCAAAATACTTCACTTCTGTTCGTAGAAAAGAATATATGCCTCTCTACTCACAGAAGATATTTGTGAAATTGGTGACGCTCGTCAATCGATGTGATCATACCATTTGCCTGTGTGTGGGTGTTAACAGTATGTCATTAATGTCCATTTAAGTGGTCCCATTATGATTTGACAGTGCATACAGGTTATAACAAAAATGTTCTGGACTGTCTGCTGAGTACTTAGTCATATCTAAAAATTCCAGGGCGTTTTCAGGAGATGACATCAACTTGGTTGGTTGATGAATCAAGTGTCGAGCATATTACATTGCATTTCTGGTGATTGAGAAAGGTGCTTGTTTCGGATTAATTCTACGCCATAGGTTCCATTTTCACCTTTCATTTCAATGAAAAGTCAGTGGTAACTTTCAATTTGGGTTTTAGTCTAAATTCGAGAACACTGTATTGAGATGATTTTTGTGCATTTCCTCTTCTTCTGAGGTGCAAATCTTTGGATTTGATTCTTTATGGAAAACGTATTCACCACTCTATCCAATGAATCTGCTTACCACAGTTCCTTGATCACTTCTACAACTGCTTTGATTAGAGCACCCTCTTACTACTAGAAGTACTGGTATTATTGTCGTTAAGCATGCATTCTTTTTAAATTCTCCAACAGTCATTTGGTGTTCGATAAATTAGTAGTTGAAACCTAAACATCTGTCACTGACTAAATCTAAAAAATTACTTTATAGAGACAGAATGAAAACACTACTCGTCACAAATAATCCAATAATTGATTAGAATCACATTCACTACATACCTACATTAATAAGTTCAGTTTATATTGATGAATGTAATAATCATCAGGATATAATTTTTCAATTATTTTTTATTTTGTCGATTCGAATTTTCTTTACCTGAGTTATACAACTGTGTAAATTGTGAGATACAAAATAGTTAATCACATAGGTGTTTGTTCGAAACCAAATAATTGTAAACAAACTTTGTAAAGTAGCAAAATATATCCAATATTTAACGAATCAAAAAATGTGACGTAAAAAGATCCCATATATACAGGAAAATATCCCATATTTATAATGAGAATTGGACCATCCTTTCGAGGTGTATAACGGCTTAGGTTTTTACCTATGTCACCGTATATACGGTGCCTTTATCTCTAGGTGAGTTCTTGAATCCAATAGAAAATCTTGAATGGATTGGAAGAATCAATAGAAACGCCCTAACTTTTCAAATGGACCAATATAGATGAACCTGTCGGATCCGTTAGTGAATTAATCAATGAATTTAAGAACTCGTCTTATATGAGAAATCAAACTACAGCGCCATCTCTTAGATGAAAGTGAATCACCTTTGCCAACTTTTTCGTTTGAAAAGACGTGGCGATTTCGTGGCCACTTTCCCACTTACATATTACATTAAGCGATCATTTTTGGGGGACTTGGGAAATTTTAGTGTAGATTTGTATGTCGGTCAAACAGTTGTCTTATATATAGTTAATATTAGCTTGAAATAATTTAATAATTCAGGTAAGTCAGTTTTCAACTAAACTTTTCATTCAGAATTTGTTCAGTACAAAAATTCCCAGTAATTAATTTTTTCAGAATGTTCACAAAAACGGTGATAGTATTCATGACAATACTCTCCCTTGTACTTTCGGAGGCCGAGGAAGATTCTGGTCCGAAACTTTTAGTTTCCAAACAAATCCTAAACAGATATTTAGTGGAAAGTAAAGACATTGAGGTTAAATATACTTTGTACAATGTTGGGACGTCGGCAGCTGTTGATGTACATCTTGTTGACAATGGTTTTCACCCCGAAGCGTTTGAAGTAGTCGGAGGTCATTTGAGAACCAAGTTTGATAGAGTTCCACCCCAGGCCAATATCACACATGTAGTCGTTGTACGACCTCTCAGATACGGATACTTCAACTTCACGAGCGCCGAGGTTTCATACAAATCATCTGATGATGCATCTGCCAAGGTGGGTACCAGACATGATTTGAAAGAATTTTGAATGATCATTATAGTTGAATAGATTCAAATTGTGCCATCAGCAATATGAATTCACTGAATGAAATGAGTTTCTGAAACTACTTGTATTGTTGAATCTATTTTAGTTGACTAACAAAGTGTAATATTTTATATTTATTAGTTTGTATTTTGGTTAATAAATTATATACCCAAGCCTTAAAAGTTGTGATTTGAAAGAAAACTTTCAAGACTAGATTATTTCTGGTTTAGAGAGAGTTTTTCTGTAAAATATGTAAAAGAACATCCCAATGAACATAAATAGCTAGTTTCGAAGAAAGGAAAATCGAAATTGATATTTCATTACTGATGAAAATGAACATGAAATGTTTATGGTACAACAGATACCTCAAATACCAAAGATAAACGAGGCTTCCTAGATAATCTACAGAAATGAAATCTGTTGTATATGGTTGTCGAATTTAAAACCTTGTTCTACATTCCGTTTCAGGAATTTTTGTTATATTATGCTATTTATTTCTCCATTACCCAGTGGAAATGAAGAAACAAAATTACCACGAAAATTCAGTACGTTTATTTCAAATAGGTATAACTCGATATCAGAGTGTATAATGTCATGAATGATATTTTCGGTAGGTCCATGCCAAGAAATTCTGTAAATTTTACAAATGAATTTGGGTGGGTCAGGTTAGAAACTGTCTGGAGAAGATTAATGATTACATAGTTGAGCAGGAAGCATCTAAGCAAAATCTGTAGAGATTTAATAAAATTGAAGAAATTAAAGACAAGATTTGTTCTTGAGAAATTAGACTCAAAAACAGACCAACAATTTCAGTTTTGTCTCAAAAATACCTTACAATTTCTCGTGTTTTGCCACAAAAGTAGTTCTAAATTTTTCTATCAATTAAACTTGATTCGCTTGA